TGAATGGCCATTTATGGAAAAGTCACACAGAGTATATAGTTATGGTATCTACCAGCAGGTGCGTACAGGGCCATGCTAACCAGCCAAACCTTGACCCCTTGATACACACCCACCACCCTCATTCATCCCAAACTGGACCAAAGGCTTCTCCGGTGCAGGCATCACAACTAGCATGTCAGGATCTGTTTAAACAGAAGCAAAACACAACATGGCTCCACTCGTCATGCCCAGCTGAAGTCTCAGTGCCCCACAGTCTAGTGTGAGCCAAGCAAGCTGGAGAGAATGAAGTGAAGTGTTCTTTCCTGACGTCAGCAACATCTCAGTGTCGTAGGTCTAGTGTAAATGTTTGCTTCGTGAGCATTCTCCAGCCTCCATGCACTCTTTCCACCGCGTTCTCGAAAAGAGACACTACTTTTTCCCACCAAAACACGTCTCTCCAAAGACAAACTTTCGAAACTGTTTTATTTGATGTGTATTTCCATCTGAGGTCGACACAAGTGCACACTAATCTTACACACACACTGGCATTTTGTGTTGACACCATGTCTTTTTGCACAATTCTGAATCTGTTTAGAGACATGTAACAAACAAAGCAACAATCTATAGAATATAGAAGCCGTTTCTACTTCAGAGTAGAAAATAAAAAAGGAAACTGTGAAATAAATTTTCAAATAGGCCACACTGTGAGATATAATTTTACAATTACCCTTTATTTTTTACTCTGAGGTAAACAGGTTTCCAATAATGGAAGCACGTACGTTTGTGTATGCGCACATTGACAAATCATTATTGGCTTTTTTATTTAGCAAAATTCTGGTACGTATCTGTACCCCATCTAAAAAATAAAAAAGAACTTTACAACAAAGTTTCATTGCACCAAAGTACATTCAACTGGCATCTCTCAGGACAGTGAAAGTGCTTATGTGAAAAATCTGCTGCCATTCAATACAGTGCAATATGAGTAAATACACAACTGCTACAGTGATACAGCATGATTAATGACCTCTGATTGATGTAAACGCTTCACACATACTCTCAAACATTCTGTGGTCCAAATATATGAACAAAAGAAAACAACCAAGCACCATCTTTCTAAAAAAATGTAAAGAAACACAGCTAATCAAATGTATCTGTAGTGGTATCTAAAAAAAAAAAAAAGAAACATCCCAAATGGTCTGACAATAAGGTAGCCCCGCCTCCCAACTGTTCTGATTGGTCAGATTTTTTGTGAACAAAGCCTTTCTCAAAAATGTGATTTCTGTCTGTTAGTAAACATTTGTTTTAAATAAAAATCATTTACAGCAGCTTCAAATTCAGTGCATTACTATAATTTTTTTGTTAAATGTGAACGACACAAAGCTACTAGTGCTATATGAACATATCAGCATCTGTGTATTGGAAAATACAGAGATTGTTACATACTGAGAATAAGAGAATTACATAAAGCAATAGTGTGTTGTAGATGAGCAGAGTCTGTAGCTCAATCAAGTTCTCCATGTCTTACATATTTCTATGAGTACAAAAAAAGGGAGAGAGTGAGAGTCCCTTGACTATTACTTACATAAACAAAGCATGCACCATTTAATGTTTTTAGATTGCTCTCAGCACTGTTATGTCTATAAAGTGACTCCAAACAACATACAATATATACATCCAATGTAATCTTTCACCACGGTACACACCTACAATAAAAACTCTCGCAGTGGCCGGCCAGAGAAGAGCTGTTGAACTTGTGTCAGCACAAACAAGAAGCCCTCTTACACAGTGCAGTGTCCTCTTACCAGCCCACATGGCTTTACTTACAGGGCAGCATGATTTACTGTGACTCTCCCTCCAGCTATTCAGCCCAATTCAAGTCCTCACAGGTTATTATTGTAGACGGTATAATTTCCAAGTCATTTTTTAGTCTGGGTGTCCGACTGTTTGAATCTAAGGCATTGATTATAAGCTGACTGTTTTCTCCAGTGGTAGTGTTTATATGAATACTTGTGACAGTCTGTTGTCAGTACACTCTCAGAAAAAAAGGTACAAAAGCTGTCAATGAAGCTGTACTTTTTTTTACACCTTTGTATCTTATTTACTCCTAAAAGGTGCTTATTAGTGCTTTGAAGGTACACATTAGTTCTTCAAGTGTACCTATTATCTAAATTGTACACATTAGCACCACACCAGTGACAACTTTTGTACCTTTTTTGTGAATGATCTACTCGTATAAAAGCACATAGTACTCTGAACTGGTGCGAGAATATGTATAACATTAGCATTCAACTGATGCACCACACTGGGTTTGACTTAATGAATAGCATTGCAGTGTTACAAATAGGGACATGTTGACATGGCTGTGATTACTTTTATTGTGTAAGACTATAGCGCCACCAAGTGGTCTGGCAAATTTAGCAAATTTTTACTCAAAACAAAATGATTATGAATAACCTCAATGTTTTATCTTACCCCAAGACTTGCATCTATAAATATTACATTTAAACCATGTAGCAGATCCATAACAGTCAAGTTATGAAACAAACCATCTAGCATATGTTGCATTATAAGAGAAGGTCAAGGGCAAGCCATTTTCAAAAAGGTAATAATAATAACCGTCAAGTGTTTCAAATACCTGCCTGCAGCCTCAAATGCAACATTGCAATCTCAATTTCTTAATAAAGTGCCATTTAATTTAATACTAGTCTAGTAAGTGTGCTTTAAGTGTAACTTCAATTTCATATGGTTATATAATATGAATATAAGTGTAACTTGAATTTAAATCCAGTAGCCAGTGCACTGAGAACATATGTATTAACATAACGTATTTTTGCATAAAACTGACAAACACTGCTTGAGCAGCTTTTGCTCAAGTTCAAAGACTGTGAAAATAGGACTGTATACACAATAGGGAGAGAATAGTCTTCTGAGGATTTAAATTAAAAGTCTAATTAATTAAATCATTACTACAGAGAAGATAGGTTGGATCTGATACCATGCTGTCAGTGGTAACGGGTGAATAATGCAGCAGGGGGGTGAAAAGGCATTAAAGCAATTGAATGATAAAGACAAAAAATAAGATATATGAAACATGAAGATGCACATGGATTAAAGACAAAAATAAAGAAAACGATAATATACAACTTAAAGATCAGTTAATTTTATTTGACTTTGGAACCACTTGTATGTGAATGGTATATTTACATAGGTAGTATGAACAATAAAATAAAATTCTTATTTTACGTCATACTGATTTTCAATCACATTTTTTGCACATACCACTCTCATTTTCACCAATTATTTAGTTAACTAGCGTAACAGTATTTAGGTTTTGAACCTTCTAAAATACAGGACGGTCAAACAAAAATACCACGAAAGACACAATGTACAGGCCTTAAAAGGGGGAAATATATAATAAATCAAATACATTTCAATTAGCTTAAGCAGTAAATTAGGTTCCAAGGGCAATTACATCAATATCTTTACTCTCTTCCATCTGTGGTCACTTATATGTGCACATGCACCATCTGTTATGAATGAATCTGAAAACTCAATTTAAAATTGCAAAACAAAACACAATAAGCAAGGTATCTTTATACTTTTCCACAATATTCACACTTCGTCCCCTCTACCACTTTAAAAATTCAAGTGTACGTTTCCTCAAAATATCTCTTGGTTGTGCAAACAAACATTACATGCATCTTCCTGAGTCTAGATCAACATGCCAAAAATGGGCAAACAAAATAAAGCTCTCTATAGTTATAGTGCAACTACACGTCAGCATAAAATACTTACTCTAAAAAACACAAACAAGGACTTTTTCTATCATACGGTATATTAATACGAATTCATGAAAATATTTGAAGGCCTAAATGCCGTTACTGTAGTTAGGGGCCTCTAGGTAAGTTACCAACAATTCACCCAAAAATGAAAATTCTATCAAAATTTACTCACCCTCATGTGGTTATAAACATTTATGACTTCTTTTCTCTTGAATGGAAAAGAGCAGCATGAACATTCTGTTAAACATCTAATTTTGTGTTCTATGTAATAAATTTTTAAAAATCATACATGAGGGTGAACAAATAATGACCGAATTTTAATTTCTGGGTGAACTATCCTTTTAAGGGACACAATGTGAAATAGGCACCCAGACTCTCTGTCTGAGACACAGCACAAAAACAGTGTTTTGAGGTTAGACATGCTGGTCCCTCACTATGACATGTTTAGGGTTAAGATGATGTATTCCCTGCCTTATGTGCCCTGTGAAACTATGCTAGTCTAGTGTGCGAGTCTCATGCTGATCGACACATTCCAGTTACTGTAGGTGCTCTGCTATGAGAACAACTGCTGCCGCTCTCTCCATGTAAGGAGAGAGGGATGATCCAGGTCACATAAAGACTGTAGGCTGAGCCGTACCCTGATTCTGTCTGCACTGACCTCCATCTTTTCCCTTTTGGGTTCCCAGCACATACAAACATCCACAAACACACTTCATCTATCATTAGCCCAAGCTAGCGAACAGAGACGGATATTTACTGCTAGTATACAATGCAAATACTAGCAATGATGAACTGTTACATATTTATACAGCTATATTATCTCAAGTTAATCCCTTGAGTTTACTTTGGACAAGGGATTTTGATTACTGAAGGCCACAATGTAAATGTGGTGCTGAAATCTATTCAAGATAGGAGCTAAATAAAAAATAAAATTAATAAAAATAAAACATCAAAAACTGAATTTGTCTCAGCCACCATCTTCAAGTCCGTGCAAAAGCTTCTGCCCTGAATAAAGCTCAAGTGCTGAAGGGATACGTCCCAATACTACTTCAGACTTTTGCTGTGATACAAAGCCGCAGTGCTTGGTGGCTTGAATGTGTATGTACAAGTATAAATGAAGCATAACATCTGCAACAAAGCTTCTTTGGTTATTGAATAAACAGGAGTGTGATATCAACATCTTCTGAGCGACATTCAAGAATCTCAAAGATTGTGAACTGAAAATAAATAAAACTACAACAGAATGAGTAGTGGAATGATGCTGACAGGTGATGTGATGTGCAAAGAGAGGAGATGTTCTCAGATCACAGGAAATGACATCGCTATAAGATTATGAGAATAATAAAGTTAATACATTACAGCTGAAGTGCGCAATTTCTGTTACACAAAGATAGTTCCACCCCAAACTCATGCCATTGGTTGCGTTGATGTTATAATGTCCAGCTCAACAAAACAGTCCGTTTTGTGCCAGAAATGACACACTTCACCTTTAAGAGGGTCTTTTTGAAAATAAATGAACACATTTTCTTTCAAAATTTATCTCTGAATTTTCGGTGCCTCACACATGACTAATAAACGATATGATTGCCATGAATTAACAATTCGTTCACACGACTTAATTTGTTCCTTCTTAGTTAAATTGTAATTTAGTTAAACTGTGGGGATTATTTACATAAAACAAGGGAACGAAGTTTTAATTTCTATTGTTTTCTGTATGTCATGTGTAGGGCTCCGTAGTGCATGCCTTTTGTAATGTTATTAATAAATAAACGTCTTAATTCATTCATTATACAACAGTCTTCCTTGAACAAAGCAAAGTTTGTTCTTTGTTCTTTCTTTGTTCTAAATATACACACGTGAATCCATATGGGAGGTCAGCACTGTTTTCAGTCTCACTCTGAAGCTTCTTAACACGTATTAATGAACCTGAAAATCTTCAAAAGCTTCAGGATCTTTTCTATTCCCTACACGGAAAGTCTAGTTTTGGATTTTAGCTGCCTGCTCCTTCTCGACCTTCTCCTTGGCTTTCTCTTTCTCCACCAGCTTCTCCTCCTTCTGCAGCATCACCATGATCTCTGAGACCTGGTTGGTGGAGATATCGATGTCCTCCTTATCGATCAGCTCTACCACCTACCACACAAACACACACGCCAGATAAATGTCAACATCAAAATAAAATGCTGACAGGAACTAAATGGGAAAAGAAAATCAATGAGGAACTAAAGAAGTCCCATCTTGTTACCTTTAAGACGTCATCAATGTCTATCTTGCCATCTTTGTTTTCATCGAGTGCGTCTGCGATGCTGAGCAGCTTGTGTTCAGGGATGTTCTGGATCTGCTTCATGACTGCAATGAGCTCGTTGATGCTTATCAGATTCTCCCTGTAGGACAGGAACAGACTACATACAGGGAATGTTTACTTGATAACACAAGGGGTAAGATGGTGGAGGGCGAGTAAGTGCACAGATCAATCAATCGCATGCCAAGACAGCCGTGCAGGGTTCCCAGAAGAGTCGCTCGCGAGTGAAAGAGTTTTTGGAGTCATTAATGAGAAAATGATTCACTAATCCAACCCGTTCTGTTGCGTGTTGCTTTAAATGCTAATGAGCTCTGCTGACCCCGCCCCTCTCTTCTGTGGGGTGACAAACCGTGCTCTGAGAGACTGTTTACTTTAGCCACATTTAGCGCAAAACTTGCTAAGTAGCACGTTATTAAGAACAGCTATTGCAAAGATTCATAAAAAAACCCTTATACTCACTTCTGCTGTAAGTGAAGCTGGATCACGAATGATTCGCGTGAACAAACGCATTTAGGTAGATCGAGGGTGCATTCCCTTCACAAACAAAAGTAATCCACTGCGTCTTCAGTGGCTCAGATGTCGGGAGTAAATGACGATTGCTGTTCATTATTACATCCAACAACAGAACACCTCAATCGCTTAGGAGACATTCTTGTCTACATCTGCTTTTGTGGTGAAACAATGGCGGTCGGACTGTTACAGCTCACTCAGGCCGGGTCTAAGGTAAGACGCTAGTGTCAATCAACTGTCGTGGGAGCGGCCTTCGTCCGTGTGACGTCACACAGACAAGAAGCTGAGAACGGCCTGATTTGAAAAAGGGGATATTATTTTTAGGGATTAAATAAAAAACACTGGGTGGATTTTTATCATTATAGGGTAGATGTGTACACACACTGCCAACACACATTTATGTTCAAACAACATGTAAAAGTGAAATTAGCATCCTATGACCCCTTTAAGAATTTTGGACTAAATCATACAAGCCAAAAATAAAGGCAAGATTTCACAGCACAATCCTAATCACACAACTGATTAAATCCACAATAACCAGCATTAAGGAAATGACAAGCAGACTGCTGACGGATTAAAATATTAAATCAAACAAAAATCACACTTCATACCCCCTCAGACCTATTTGGTTACAAAATATGGTGTTTAGTCCATATTTTTAAGTTAATGCTTTTGATGAGGAAAAAAAAACGAAAGGCGAGAGGTCTCTCCTGTCCTTACCTTGGCAAGTCACTATGTTTCTCAAAGAACAATCTAAAAAGAACAAAAAATGATTTTTAATTGGACTGGGAACCCTTTTCTTTTGGATCGCGTTTGCAACCTTCAAGGTTGTTCTTCCACCCCCATTGTACTGTGTCGATTGCAATATCCCATCATGCATAACTGATGACACACACAGAAACCACCATCAACATTCAACCCAATTCCATACAAACTCATGCAAATCAAGTACTCTTACCCGATTGGTGGTGTGGTCCCACTGTCCATCTGTCCATCCAGCACCATCTTGTCCTTCTCCAGCTCAGTGACGATCTTATCCATTCTGCTAATCATGCGGTTGACCCGCTTCGACAGACGTTGGCTTGCTTTAGACTCTTCCACCACTTTCTCCTGTCCTGTTTTGGACAGCTCTCGCTTGATCTCCTCCAGGTCCTGTAGAGAGACGTAGTGGATATCACATGTTAAAATGCTTATAACAGAAATTAAAATGGACCGTTGGTTTACGGTACACACCTCGCTGTACTCCTGCACATCATCCTTCAGGTCCTCCAGCTCCTCTTTCTCTTTGGTGAGGAGATTCTTCTGCCCCTTCAGTTTGGTGCAGGCGTCACTCAGCATGTCAATCTCTTCCTTAGTGATCTCCTCCCCCTGAAAAAAAAAAAATGACACACAGGCTCCTAAATTTTTGGTGAGTGCTCCTAAATTTTTGCTGGTGCTCCCAACTTCAGTGCTACCAAGTAAAAAAGTTAATTTCGAGCCCTGAGTGTCCATCAACACTCTCTCTAGGGAACACGCACACATTTTCATACATGCATAACAGTGTTGGGGAACCTTTGAATCAGTGGTAGACTACAGTTAAGATAAATTCTCAGCTTGCTCTGTTGCAAGATGACACAATGTAACAAAATCAGCTATGTAATGCTTTGTCAAGCTACATCTTTTTCTCCTTAAACTTTTGAATGGTTGTGTAACTTATTGTAAAAGTGATGCTAGTTGCTAGATGCTAGTGTATAAGTTACTCCCCAACTCTGATGCAGAGAGATAAAGAGGTTGCTCTTTTATAAGAGGATCAGTCAGAGGAAAGGAAGGTCTTCCATACAACAAAGGTGATTACAGAAAGGTCACTAAAACCAACTGAAACACATTGTAGGGCTAATTCAGTGGGTCTCTGAGTAACATAAAACAAACACCCATGAGGATTTGCTGCAGGTTTCATTTGTAATGCGCTACAGACACATACTCAAAGGAATAGTGTGTTGGGGTGAAGTGGAAAGGAGGATGCAGGTATAACCACACAAAAAGCTTCTGCTCTTTCAAATCACTGTATTCACTCAATATTATGTACATTTGACTCAGTAATTCTCTTGTGCCTGTTATGCTAAAAATTAAGAAGCCTTACAAGAGTCTAAGTCTAATCCTAGTCGAAAAGTTCTGATTATGAAACTGTAAATGTGGGAAATGAACGCAGTAAAGTGACTAGGAGAGCAGAGCGTCAGTGTGGTGGTGATCTCCAGATGGAGAGCACAGTTCAGCATCTAACCTGAATGCGCAGATACCTCTGCCACTGCTTGAACTGAAGAAACACGCAAAATGATACACAACACAAAAACAGAGAAAGAGTGGTTCCTGTGACATGAATGCACAAGATCCTGTTCTACAACACAATCAAGTCAGAGAAGTGAATTAGCTGGACTATTTTTATTGAATGACTTCAGCTAAAGAAAGTTAAACTTATACTACCATATTATGTATTAAGCATATCAACACATTCAACAGCATTGGATGTTTCAGATGTTTCAGATTTTCCCAATTCAAGCAGAATGGGCCTATACTTTCATGTTTACAACCATGACAGAAAATAGCTGACTGAAGGCATTGCCAAGATTGGCTGAGTGACTTGCCTTAAAAGGGTTATAAACACTTTATAATAGCTTTCATTACTCATTAACAAATACTATTTTATAATGCTTGACAGATTATCAGTAATACACACTACTGTTTCAAAAGCTTGGGGTCAGTAAGATTTTTTAAAATTGCTTTTAATTGCTCTTACGCTCACCAAGGTTGCCTTTATTTGATAAAAAACACAGTAATAACAGTAATATTGTGAAGGATTATTCCAATTTACAATAACTGTTTTCTATTTTATATATTTAGAAATGTAATTTATTCCTCATTTTAATTTGCAGATTTGGTGCTCAAGAAACATTTCTTAATATCAATGAATACAAAGTTCAAAATAACAGCACTTCTTGATCATTATAAATGGCTTTGTCACTTTTAGTTTAATGCATCATTTGCTGAACAACAGAAATATTAATAAAAAATATAAAAAAACCTACTGACCCCAAATTTTGATCCGTAATGTACATTTAAGTTCCTAACAAATGTCATGTGTGTGAGTGTGTGTGAGTGAGTGTGTGTGTGTGTGTGTGTGTGAGAGAGAGATTGTCTTACCTTAATACCCTCCAGCACTGGTGCAGTATCTCGTAGTGTTTCTGAATGGATGGCCACATCTACACTGGAGAGAGCATGCTCTGCATCCTCCCGTCGTTCTGCTTCCAACTCCACCACCTCAGCCTCCTGGAAACACATATAAAACCTTCCATGAACATTTCAACTATACCACAGGTATGACGCAGGAATCACTGTCAGACTGAAAGTGACTAATGACCCGCGCGGCCTGTTCCTTTTCTTTCTCTGCAGCATCAGCCAGTCTCTCCAGGTCCCGCTCTCTGTTTTCCTGCCGGATAGCTGCCTCTTCCTGTAGTGTGGCCTCCAGCTTGGTTTTGTTATCCACTTTAGAGAAGTCCAGCTCTGCCACCTTCACCTGTGCCTCTTTAGTCTGTGAATGCACAAACAAACAACACACTGTCATTACACAAATCTGAAGCACTTGCTACATGTATACAATCATACATTACACTACATATAATTGTAAATATTCTATATATTGTGCAGTACATACCATAATCTCTGGCAGGTTCTGTAGTGTGGTTTTAAGCTGGTCCGCAGGGGACAGTGTGTCTGGCAGGAACATAGCTCGGGACAGGAGCAGCAGAGATGTGGGGATGTGCAGATTGAGGTGAAGCTCCAACCACTGACATGATCAGAAGTGTGAAATACATGATGAGAAGACCTATTACTAGGAAGTAATCATTGTAGAGGAGAAAAGCATGTGCTACCTGTTTAAGCTGCTCTCTGAGTCTCTCCTCCGTCACACCCAGAGCTCTCATCCCTCTCACACGACATGCTGCCTGCAGCTCATTCACATTCAGACTGTCCACTCCTTCCTCTGCTATCAGCTGTCAATCACACACACACACACAAAGAAATCAGCTAGGAATCATCATTCTTAATAGGAATCATGAAATTTTCATTTAGAAAGTTGCTAATTGAAAAAGAAATTCATGAAACTCAGAAATTCAATTCATAGAAATTCATATAGAAATTAATGATAATTCTAATTTGCTCTGAATTCTTATACACTAAATATATAATGACATAAGACATTTTACATTTAACTACTTTTATGGTGTTTTTTTTTTTGTTTGTTTTGTGTCAATATAAATTGATGTTGAATAAATAAAAGTATATACAATACCATTCGTCATTTTAATCAGCAAGGATGTATTAAATTGATCAAAAGTGACAGTAAAGACATTTATAATGCCAAAAAAGGTTTCCATTTCAAATAAATGCTGTTCTTTAGAACTTTTGGTCACAAAAATTAAAAAGCACAACTGTTTTCAATATTGGTAATAAAAACTGTTTCTTGCGCAGCAAAACAGAATATTAGAATGATTTCTGAAGGATCATGAGACACTGAAGACTGGAGTAATGACTGCTGAAAAATCAGCTTTGTCATCACAGTAATAAACAACATATATATTCATATATTAAATACATATAAAATATACAAATTTTACTATATAATCTATACATATTTTACCATTTTAATATATAAGATTTTATGTATATATAGCATATATATATATAACTGCATTAGGCTAACTGAGACTTGTTATAGCACTTGCATATCATTGCTCTTTTGTTGATTTTGATAGCTTCCATTGTCCTCATTTGTAAGTTGCTTTGGATAAAAGCGTCTGCTAAATGACTAAATGTAAATAAGATTTAACTTATTAAAATAGAAAAGTTTTTTTATTTTAATAATATCATAATATAATATATATAATTTTTTTTTTTTTTTAATCAAATATATGAAGACATGTTGGGCAAAGATACTTCTTTCAAAACAATTTTTAAAATTGGAATATTAAACTGAAAACTGCATATTGTGCTGTACAATCTAACGTGGACAATTATTTCATATTCAATTAAATGATTTAACTTTAAAAAAAAATAACATACAACTGTTATAAATAAGACAATGCAAAAAAAATTTGACTCTTCTTAAAAACACAATCTCATTTGAGTAAAGACAGGCTCTAACCTTGTCATCTGCACGGATGGCTCGGAGTTTCATGATGAGCTGAAAGCGCAAGAAATTGTTGGTGCCGATGGACTGCAGCTCCAGCAGCTTGCACAGAGCCACCAGCTGCGGCCGTGTCAGGTTATCTAAGGTCAGTTCATCTTCAAACAGCTTAGAGAAACGTATGATCTGCTCATTACTGGGTCTCTCTCCTGAGTCACGGATCTGAGAGAGAAGAGTAAGGGGAAGAGAGAGAAAGTTCTCATTCAAAAAAAGCTCTCATTCATGGTATTTATGAGATAGCATTCATAAGCATCACCACATGGGGGCAATACAGCGCTGTGTATAGAATCACTTGGGCGAAGCGTTGTTTTTCAGGATGAGTTCTGAGCAAGTGTGACTGATCTACCTTCTGAAAGAAAGTGGAGAACTCCTCGGTCACGTTGCCTTTGGCTGCTTTGTTTCTTAGTGCAATCTCCTCGACTGTGTCCTGCAAGAACTTGGCCATCTCTAACTTCACTCTCAGCTCCTTCTTTAGTCTTTCCTCCTGCAGAGAGAGAGAGAGAAAGAGAGAAAGAGATATGATACGAGGTCAAATAGGTTTGGTACAGGTATTGTATAAGTAGATGCATAAGAGGTGTGACTAGGACAGAAATACAATTAAGGTCTTTACAGATTAAAACTCAAAAGGTCAGCGTACCTTTTTGGACTGTGTCTCAAAGGTGGACGGCAACATGTTAGGAAAAAGTTTCAGTGCAACAGGAAGCAGAAACTCCATAAATGGGACGATGATAAAGACCAGAAAGGGCAGAAGCCGGAAGACATCTGCACACGTCCTCAGGAACTGCAATTAACATGACATAGGCAGTGATGTCAGCAGATTGCTGCTTTGGTGATGAAATGCAATTATTGATCAGTGGTGGAAATCTAATCTCTAGACCTAAAAATGAAGTACAACCCCTGAAATCCCTGTCATGAAGTGCTAAGAACCGACTCTACAGAGTGATCTGCTCTGGCAGGACTACATAAGAGTAAAATTAGAGCTCAAATCCAGCTGGGAGGTGAAAAGAGTCAGAGTCAAGAGTTCTCTCTAAAACTTTTCCTATCTACTGTTTGGGTAAAGAACCTCATATCCTGTTCCTATTTCACCCCAAAATCAAAAGAAAGAAGCCTATTTTGCCTAAGAAGCTTTTGATTAAAATTGATTTTCTACATTGCAACATTATTTTCATGAAAGTTAAGGACATTTAACATCATGTCCATAAATTTTAATTAGTGTAATGCAAAAAAAAAATCATTATTGTCATACAAAAGTTAAATTATGAAGCACTTATACATCATGTTTGATAAACTGCATTAAATGTATGATTTTTAAAATAATAATATAATTATTTACAATACTTCTTTTTTACATAAATGAGAATGAGAACCACCAGAACAATAATAGGATTTACAAAAAAAATATTGTAAAAAATATTAATGGTCCTAAAAATATTAATATTAATGGTGTCTGAATAAATTTTGGTTTGACTGTATCTATTTTATAAATAAAGTTAACCAACTAACATTATACATACCCTTTTGGTTTCTGTACCCAATATTTAAAAAAATGTACAAATGCAATAAAAATATCGGTATCGGTACTCGGTATCGGCAAGTACCAAAAATAGAAGCATCGTATCGGGCGAGTACTGGAAAAAGTGGTATCGGTGCATCCCTAATATTAATCCTAACTTCCAATTGTATTTATGTATTTATTTTTGTCAAATGTAACCTAGATGCTTTTATGTATGATTCACTCCTGTAAAGTAAAAAAAAAAAAATTAATTTAAAAAAGGACAGCTCTGAGACATCAGGTAAAATACAATAAAACAAATCAAAATAAAATAAATAAATACAACTTAAAAATGAAAAACAGACATCTGCACAAAAAAGATAATTAAAATTAAATAATAAATACATAAAATAAAATAATTAGTTAAAATAAAAAAAATAAAAAAAACCTGACTTTCTGAATCACCCCATATCTAATATATAGCTGATGAAACATGATGAATTCAGAAAATGAGAGGTTAGATGACAAAGGAGCTTCAGCTTTATAAGAGGGGTCCCTGCTCCCCTTATTCCACTTATGTGTCAGCGGTCCTATAGGGAAGAATTTAAACCAGGCAGGCCTGAAAAGAGCCTTTGTGTTTGGCCCATTGACATGTATATCACCACAGGCAGAGAGAGAGAGAAAGAGCGCGAGGGGGAGAGAGGAGGAAAGCAGGGAGGCCTGGAGTGTGAAATATTCAGGGACGAGTGAGTGGGATGGAGAGTGAAGGCATTCCAAAGGAAGTGGCCGGGAGAGAGCAGGACAGAGGGCATGGGAAGGGGGTTGATGACTGACATCAAAAGCTAAAGGAACCCACGCTGTGCGAGGCCAGTTGTGAATAGGCAGGATTAAGAATGAAGCAGGTCAGAAGAATAGCGAGAGTGAGGTGCGACAGATGCTAGCTGAGGCAGAGGCATTAGCATACCTCGCACTGCTAATGTTGACAGAGCTCACAACATAAAGAAATCCTCAGTAAGCTCTTGATAACAACTAACCATGACTACCCAAACATGAGTGTTATACAAGCTGTAGACGTTTTTGGACCAAATGCTGTGGGAAAAAAAAACTCTCAAGAAAACCTCCCAAGGCTTTAGGAATGTAATAATGTGATTTTTGCTTGTTTTCAGTTAGTAAACAGATTTTCTGAAGAAAATGTGAATAGTGCTTGCCTGTGCAAAACAACAACAACAAAAGCTTTTTAGTTAACGTTTGAAAATAAAGAATTGAACAGCCATAAATAATACAATTATTATTTGTTTCATAAATATAATTTTTTGTATTTTATTTTATAAATTTGCATTACAATATATTTTATTATAATATTTAACATAATAGACAATATACAATTAATAATATAAAATAGTAATATTTATTATTTTATTTAATATTTTAATTTAGTAGTGGCAGTAATAATAATAATTATTATTATTATTATTAATTATATTTATATGGTCATACTCATATATAGTCTGATATATTTTTGACAGGAAAATTATATCGGACTATAAATTGTGCAGACCTACAAACAAGTGATAGATAGATAGATAGATAGATAGATAGATATATAGACAGATAGATAGATAGACAGATAGATATAGTATAAGCAATAAGAAGTAAAAGCAATAATAGTGACACCATTAATGTTTACAATGATTGCTTGCAGCAAATGTTTGTAAAATGTTTGCCAGAAGACCTAATTTTAAGGGCGTGTTTCTATCTCTGTGGCTTCATATAACTGTCACCAGAGTAAAACCAAACATCACTCTTCTCAGTACTATTGCCATGACTGTGGAGAAATGATAGGAGTAATGTAGTGGATAATGTTGGGCATTAATATCCTAGCACCCCAAGGACGGACAGTTCATTCTGAGAGAGTGACAGAGTGAGCTGTGACACAAAGCCTGAGCAATTTCCAGTACGTACTGACTTAGAACGCAATGGAGACCTCCAACGGTTATAGATTATATGCGTCACTAAAGTGTCACTTTACAACAGGCTGAGTCATGCAACTGTCTGAGAATTTGAGGCTGGGAAGGTATTAGCACTGTGCTAACAGAGCCAATCATGTAATACAACGTGTGATAGCTGCAATCTTCTGTGTGCTTGAAAAATCAAACATAATACAGAAGAGCAGTAACCTTGTATTTACACTAACAAGTTTGGGGTCGGTATGATTTTGTAATGTTTTTAAAGTCTCTTATGCTCAGCAAGGCTGCATTTATTGGAAAAATACAATACATCTGTCATATAATGAAAAATTATTACAATTTAAGCTGAATTTTCAGCATCATTACCCCAGTCTTCAGTGTCACATGATCTTTCAGAAATCATTCTAATATGCTGATTTGCTGCTCAAGAAACATTTCTTACTATTAATGCTGAAAACAGTTTTTTTTTTTTTTTTAGGATTCTTTGATTAATAGAAAGCTAAAAAAAATCAGCATTTATTTGAAATATAAATTTTTTTTTTAATAGATTTTTTAAATAAATAAATAATAAAATTGTATAATATAAGTAAACTTAAAACTTTTTAATGGTAGTTGATAACTTTGTGGATTTTGAAAGCACTTCTTAAAAAAAGTGAGCTTTGTTGCTTTCTGTGGGGGGAAAAACCATGGCCATGTTGCTGTGACTGATGGGATGTTCTTCTGGGTGGTTTCTTACTGAACTAAGTCAAAATGCTTTGTCGTAGGTCTGTTTTTTCACCATTTTATTGTCTGCCAGAAATTATAAGTTCAATCACTTATTAAAGGTAATATAAAGCTAATGCACTGGACCTCAATTAACTGCTCTCTTACTTCTGTCCTAAGGACAACATTTCTCAGCTGGACATCACTTTACAGGAGTCAGCCTGGGCTAGTGGCCAACTATGTGTCAATGTGAGCCATACTGATCTATCAATCATTAAACTACAAGAAAGAGATAGGAAGAGAAAAGAATAGGAAGACCATTGATTGAACATTGATTGAAGGAGTTAATGAGATAAAACTCCTGAACTTTTTGGCCATGTAATTTTCTTCTGATCTCAAAATTACAAAAGCAGAGCACTTCAAACTGTACTATCACAAGGATGTATTCGTGTATTAGTGTAGATGTCTGCAGACCTAGAAAATGATGCTTGTACTGAAATTTAATTATTGAAATTTAAGTTGCGATTATAGGATATGAATGAATGAGTGGGATTAAATGTATCCTAACTAAATGTAAATATTATTTCATCTTAAATAAAAGAGTTGTTAAATTGGACTTAATGGATTTTTTATCCTAAAGGCCTCAGGAATCCCATGTGAGCTAGTTAAAGTGTCTTGGGTCTCCCCTGGACTCCTGACTTACAGGGTAATCTCTAATGGCTGTTCCATGAAGACTCAGCATGGCACTAATTTAAATCATTAAGCTACAGAAGAGATCCAGTCAGACTTTACAGGACTAAGATTAAACTACGGAAGAATGCTAACCACCTACCCCAAATCCTACTATGCACGACTTAATTACATTACACTGGGTTAAATCCATAGGGCAATGACAGACATAAGCAATGACAGGTCAACTGACAACCCCAGAGTGGTACAATGACAATTTTCCTTGCATTTTCTATTAAAAATGACTATATGTAAATACCCTAGTTTCAACCCATTTATGTGTGTGTGGGAAGTTTTATTGCAAATACTAACATTTCGTAAATCTACTTAGAGTATTGCAATAAAGGACAAAGGTGTCTGATGTCTACTTTATTATTACCAAATCTCAATGCAATCATGTTGTCATTGACTCTTTAAGGATAATGTTATTAGGTGGTCTCAGCCTTGAGGGACGTTCACACTGACAACGATTTAACATATGACAAATTTGAGCAGAGTTCAACTTTTGTTTAAACGCTGGCAGTTCTAATCTGACTGGCAACTTTCAGGAGTCAGGGTACAGTTATTTATCATAAACTTATCAGAACAGAGGAATATTGATTGGGAAGGTTCAATCCTCAACTCAAGTCATCCAATGGCTATCCTTCAGACATTGCAGAACAGGGTTTTTCACACTCCTGATGCCAAGTACCCCCATTAAACCAAAATAGTAAATAGTTAAAAAATTTTACGCAATTTACGCAATAACGTCTGTTTGTGCTCAATTTTGCCAAGGGAAATATGACCTATTAAAGCCCGAGCAGAACTGTTGTGCGTTTCCAAGCAACACAATTTCTGAATGAATCCGCATTTTGAATGAATCGGGTGAACCAATAATTCAATGGCCCATTCATAAAGAGAGCCATTTACTTCACTTCTGAATGAATCAGCTGTTTGAAAGAATCAAAATAATGAATGAATGATTCAATTACTTATTTATTAAGACATTTACTGCCATCTACTGGCAGTTTTAGTTTCTTATTTAGGGTATAATTTCATTAAAAATAATTTAATATTTTCATATTAATAAAAAAATTGAAAATAACAATAAATCCACATTACTAAAAAAAACTAACTAAAGGGACGTTTCACACAAAAATTTAAAATGAAAAAAAAAAATACAAATTTTTTCTAAAGCTACTTTTTGTAATGTCTATTTGATGCTTTTCTCATTTAACACAATAATGGCTGCACATTAGCTTTTGGGGGTGATTTTTCAGCCAAATTTGATGTGCGATTAATTTGCAATTAATTCGATTAATTAATCGCCACATTGACTACGTTTATATGGAAATCAATAATCTGATTATTTACCTTATTCTAAATAAGACAATATTATTATTAAGGTGTTTACATGAGTTGCTTTTAGAATATTCCTTTCATGTTCCTGTTTTACATGTTATAGTACATAGTTCGATTAATTGTACACGTCATTACGTCCCCATGTGACGCCATCCGATGTCCCCTCTAGAATTTCACATATAAACATATAGTTCGTCTTCGTGATGATGCCATATACAGTTTTGGGTGTTTTATTTTAAATTTTATGAAAGCTTCAAGTGCAGTTAATTATTTGTATGTGCATACAGACGACGGCAGTGTTGAAGCTCTTTTATTTGCCGTCAAACGGTTGACCACTGTCGTGTGTGTATCCTGTCGCAAAATGTGGCGAAAAGTCCTGCACGATGCTAATAATGTGATTAAGGTGTGTTCATGTCTATACTGCACTTCAATAATGCGACTAAAATAGGAATACTCCACATGTCTTCATTTGATTTGTGTTTACTTCCGAGTATGACTTTAGCCGGATTAAGGTAATCAAAAATCTCAGTCTACATGGTAGATTCTTAATCAGAGTATAGTCTTAATCAAGTTAAAATCGGAATATTGTTGTCCATGTAAACGTACTGATTGTGTAAGATAAAAAATCACTTGACAGCCCTAGTGTTTACCTGTCTCCTCTCTCGGCGTGACAGAATGTGTCCATTCAGCACCCTCCAGAGCATCCGCACCGTAATAGTCGTATCCATCCATAGTAGGCGGAACCCGTGATAGTAATGCTTCACCTCATCAATCACACGTTGACATATTGTCCGTCTCACAGGTTCGGCATCTACCGTCGGGCTGTACACCGGACCACCCTCCTCAAGCTTTTTATTCCGATCCTTCAGTGAACGTAAAGAACGCTCTACCTTCGAATCATCATGGAGATGGCCTGTAGTATGTACCCACCGGACTGGGGTGTTCTGTGGCCAAGCTAGCGTCCTGGGGTACGTGGAGTGGGTGTTGATAGGCAGGGCAGGGTCAGGTACTAAGATGGCACAGTACAGACGAGGTGACCTGGACAAGCGGCGCTGAAGTGCTGATGAATTGTCAAGGTACAGGACAGATGATGCATGAGGCCAGACACTGCCTCCAAGAACACCAGGACTGCTGAAAAACAGACGTCATGCATCAGCCTAAACAATCTTTAAATAAAGATCCAATTTGAAACAATAAAAAAAAAATGACAGCATTTTTGAAGTAAGTCTCTTATGCTCACCAAGGCTGCATCAATTTGATCAAAAACAGTAAAACAGTAGTATTATGAAATATTATTACAATTTAATATAATTGTTTTCTATTGTAATATATTATAAAATGTAATTTATAATTTTCTCATTTTCAGCAGCCATTAATACTCAAGTCAGAAATCATTCTAATATGCTGATTTGATGATCAGGTAACATTTCTTATTATTATCAATGTTGAAAATAATTGTGATGATAGTTAATTTTTTTTTATATAGTTAATACTACAATTCAAAGTTAAATTTGGATGGTAGTATTAACTACCACAGTATGGACGAATTGCACTTTTCTCCAAATAGATTCAGATATAAATGAGAATCATGTCACTGACCCAGATACAATTTAATTTTCAATTCCATTTACCTGTTTGTGGCTAACCGCAGTGCAGTGCAGTTAAAGCATGTGCTTTCTGATAACTTTCCTGAAAGAGATTCAGAGTAAAGAAAATATAACATTAGATAACATACAGCACACTTATGAGACCACCATGAAGAAGGATGGACCAACAGAGTAATGCAATATAGCTGTGCATCTTATCTGTGCATGATAAAAAAAAAAAAAAACAGATGATATGATATAACATAAACGGTCATGGAGAGTGCTACAGGCTTGAGGCCAGCACGAGATCACGGAAAAGGACAGAGAAAATACTTGATCTCATGCCAGTGTTGCATACACAGACAGGGAAAAATATCACCACTGCCAAGAGAAAGGACACACAAATGAAGGTGTGTAAGGTCCGCTCACATTAAGCTATCGTATGGCTTCAGAAGTAACACAGAATAATTCGCACAATCGGGAAAAAAAAAATAAAAAATCTCACTATCGGAGCCGATACCCGATATGAATATCGGATCGGCGCATCCCTATCTTCAACAGTGTAATTAGATTACTGTACAAATTACTCTCTCCACAAAGTATTTAATTACTTATTACTAATCACTTTTTAAATCCTACATCAACCTCGACAAGTTAATGATACAAGGATAGACATGAAACGTTTTTTTTTTATTTTTTCAAGTAACTACATAAATTATTCTGGTCACACTTTAGATTAGTGTCCAATTCTCACTATTAACTAATTATTAACTATGATTTTTGCCTCAATAATACTCCTAATTACTGCTTATTAATACTTAGTAAAGTAGTTGTTTAGTTTAAGAATTGGGTAGGATTAAGGATTTAGAATAAGGTCTTGCAGAATAAGACCTTATTCTAATAGAATTCATGCTAATAAACAAATTAATAGTGAGAATTGGACACTAAAGTGTTACCAATATTCTTATTAACTCGCCAAAGTATTTAAAGTGAGAAGGGTACATAAAAAGCATGCATTTTAAGGTTAGACTTTAAATTTGTATGTTAAATCCACTACTGTATTGTATATGAATGTTCTAAAGTCTATACACAGTAAGCTCAATTACATAAGAAGTAACTGTAATTAAATTACAGAAGAAATAAGAGTAATCCCTTACTTTACATTTTCAAAAGGAAAAGTAATTAAATTACAGTAACTAATTACTTAGTAATTAGTTACACCCAACACTGGGTCCCAGATATATCAGACTATATCAGAAACTAAGCAATGGAGGCACTTATGCATATGGAGGAGTCCAAAACACTTTCAACTTTTTAATTCTGGGCTTTTCTAGCGTTTTGATGCCAAGAAAGAATCCTTCAGTTCAATTTAATCCATAATTTTTTCATATTCAAGACAATTTTATAAAGAGAACAGAATTACATAATTGTTTCCCAAATTAAATAATTAGCTTTTCTGTTATTATTGGAATTAAGCAAATTTATTGTTTTCTGGAAAATATTTTTTAAAAAGTTCTATAAAGTTAATGGTGTATCTAATATCTATAAACACATTTTGTTCACAAAACTATATGCTTTTTTTCTCACTGTCTCACAAAAACTAGAACTTTAGACAGACTTTAAAACAACTGCAACAAATCACAGGTTAATCAGTGTTTTGAAAGCAGAATTAAATAGTAATATAATATTAGCAAATTTGGTAAATGTGAAAGTAAAAAAAAAAGTAATGAGTACATGATAACAGAAGTTTAATTTTGGGTGGCCCTATCCCTTTAAGAGCACGTTAACGTTGACAGTCCTAAAAATACATTTTCTAAAAGCTTTTTCTCTCTCTTCAATTTTTGCAAACCCCCTAAAAATCCCTGACTTAATTAATACCTAAATAACACAATAACCTTTTTAAATGGAGTGGTGTTAGGAAGCAATATGCAACTTACGCAGTCATCTAATGCTGTTATGCCATGGAATGTGCAGCCACAAAATACATTACTTATTGGTCTTTACGTCAAGTTGAAACTGTACCTGCCTACATGCTTAAACAAATGCTTGAATATGACTCATTCTTTTATCCACCTAGTCAAAGTATTTTGTCATGTCCATTGCACACTGGCACATAATGAATCTGACTGCGTGCTATTTACTTGTTTGTGTGTGTGTGTGTGCGTGTGCGTGTGTGTGTGGGGATCGGTTATGAAACAACCTCCATACAGGTTACATCAGGAAACAGACCTCACACAAAAACGCTGCAACTGATGCAGTGAAGAGTTTACATAGCTCACATTTTTTACATGGATGGATGAAACATTAGTATTCCTGGTGGATATTCCCCCTCTCAGGCATATGACTAATTACAAATACTGCTTATGTTAAACTACAGTACAGTTAAATAAGACCACCCATTGCAGCTGTCTGTCAGATGTTCAAGCATAGTATTTCACTGGTAATGACCATCACAAGCACTCTCCATGTCTGCGGCGACAATCTCAGATACACGAGGATGGCCGAGCACATTTCAGTAATGTCTAACTCATGGTAATGTTAGCTACGGCTCTTCAGGAGCAAGAACAGGGTAAATATCCCAGTACCAGGAAACCACCAGACTTGAAGTGAATTGCCTGTTGAAATGGATCACTTGAAACCAATAACATATCTTCTGACTTTTGGTATTTATTTTCTGCACTGATCTTGGGTTAGTATCTACATAATTGTTTTTAACACTGTAAAAATGTGCTAAACACAGGGTTGAACATGCAAAATTTTCTGTTAACAGATAATCAAATAGTGTAATCAAATTCATTTTTAAGCCACTGTTCCTTTTCAACAAATAACCTACTGTAAACCAGATTTCTGCTTGTTCCAACAGGACAATCAAAAGGTGAATTATGTCTTTTTTTTTTAAATCATAAAACCGTTTATCCTGTCCCAGTTTAAAAAGCAGAGACAACATTTTACAAAGCCCTTGATTTTTTGAGTTTCTGAATCAGGGCCTTTTCTAGGCATAGGCAAACTAGGCAGTTACTTAGGGCACCTCCAATTAAAGGGGTGCCAATGAGCGTCCCAATCCTATGTTAACGTAATGACACTGCATTTTAGCAAAAATAAATAAAAGGGCGTTAAGTACATTTAAGCAGCTGAATATAGCATTAGAATGTTTTTAAATTTGAAAAGTTTAACCGTTATTTAGTGTATTTTGAAATAATATATTTTTAAAAATGAATGGTGGCATCATCAAAATAATGAAAGTGTTTGGTAAGCTACCATAACCAAATTTTTTAATTTTTAACCAATTTAAATAATCATGTCATTATCCTAATCAAAATCATACAACACCAATAGGGATTTTGCCTATAGGGCGCCAAAATAGTCTGAAATGGCCCCATTCCGAATAGTTGTCCGACACGTGTCGCGCCAGGTTTGATTTCTAGGATGCAAAATAGCAATACTTCTTGCGTGTCTCAAATTGTGATGCGTTAAGTTTAAAGCGGAAGTGAAAATTAGATTTGAAAGATCTCTTTAAGTAGGAAAAGTAAAGTGGACTATAAATGCAGGATGTCCTTTTACTTACTGTAAATGTAACTTCAGGAAACTCCCTTATCTGGAGTAAGCCAGTAAAGCTATTCTCACCCATTCGGACTGTATCCCACACATGCACAAAAGCACACAGTTTCCCTTTCCCTAAAATACAGCAATCCATCAAACCTGACTTTCTCCTGAACCATTTCCTTCTCCAGTACACCATGCAATCTCTGGATTACATATACTTACGGTCTCGTGATTATCTGATTTATCCACAATAGGACGAGGCCAGATTCCATAATTAATCCATTCTCATCCCACTTCCCTTCAGTACTATGGTTTAGGACCTTTGCTCCAATGCCCAGGTGAAGCCTAATCTGGGTAGTGCTTGCCATAATGTTTGCTTCACATGTAAGACCCTTGGCCCAGTGCAGTCTAATCCTATCGATGCCAGGATGTTTGTATGGAAAGATAAATGCTTTCTACTTTCGCTCTCTATATTTAGCTCTATAGGATGTCTGGCCTCGCATCTCGAGGTCAGTCTACGGCTGGCAGATGGCCTGAGATCTCTATCCTCTTGTACATCTCCTTGTGTTTGCATATAGAATACAAAGCTCTCTGAACAGAAGAGAACAGGATGCACTCTTCAAAATAAAGGTTCCAAAAGGGGGGTTTTATGGCAAATGCCATAGAAGAAGCATTTTGAGTTCCCTAAAAAAAAACTTTCAGGGAACATTTCTTAAAATAATCTTTTTTTTTTCTTTAAGTGAAAATATTTTAATAATCTAAAGAAACTTTTTTAGAGGCCAATAAAGAAGCTTTATTTTTTAAGAATGTAGAATTTGTATATGTATAAATTTATAGATATATAAATGTATAAAATGTATACATTTAAAATAAACACAGCCTGCATATAATGATGACATGTTAAAAGAACCTGAACTTTCATGGGTGTTGTCTAAGTTCCTTAAAGGGGTGAGGAAAAAACTAACACAACTTTGTGGTCACAAATCTTTTCTGTTTTAGGATGCAATGTAAAGTACTCAACTGCACCAGATTCAGGGTGTGTCTCGGAGAGAAATGAACAAAGAGTCATCATATGAGGGTGGACCCATAAAATGCTCCACATGCTGCTTCAGATGTCTTCCATGTAACTAATTGTTTAATCTAATGCTTGGGAGTAGGTGGTTTTAAGGTACAGGATGTACTGTAGTTTTGACAAAGTTAAAAAACGTTCAACTAATGTGCAGAGTCAACTACATCAAGCAATTCATAGACTGACTTTCCTAAACACTGCAATGCTTTCGCAACATCGCTCGGTTTGTTAAAGCAATTCAAACAAGACGTTCAATAATATAATCCATCATTACCATTCTCAATCATTGCTGTAAGTGCCATGTGACTTGGAGCCACAGGAAAATTACATTTTTACATGCTGACTGGCTGAAGAACACACTACAGGCCTAAACCCTTTACTAGAGATGCCAAAAGGCAGTAGACAGGGAAAAAAAACATAAAACTTTAATATAATGAAATACTTAATTGTAACTACACACTTTGACCCCTTTGGTCTGGCATGTCAACAAAAAAAAAAAAAAAAAGTTCATGCAAGGCTCATGGGGCTGTCTATTCCATATGAAACCTTCTCACCGATAGTGTCTGACTCTGTCAGCATTCAGGCAGCAGTTTTGTGTGACAGTCTTATCAGAGGTAGCAGTCCCTCTGAGAGTGAGATAACACAGCCGGAGTGAAACTAAGTCTACTAAGTCCCACAGATGTACCTCATTTATGCAAACAAGGTCAAGACTTAGCTTTGATCAACTGATTCCCTGATCTCCATATATAATATGACCGTCAACTCCAATCAAAATATACACAGAAAAACCTTTTGGCTTCATCACAAATGTTCAACAGGTGCCATTTGTCTTTAAAGAAAACAACAGAACCACACAAACTCTGACTGCTATTGGCAGGACACATCAGGTGTCCTTCTCTCTCATGTTGGTTGCCTGTGCCAAGTCACAGTCTGTGCTGGTACATTTAACCAGCTTGGTAGAAGCCTGTGGATTGAGCTAGTGTCCTGATAAGAAAACCCCATCTCTGGCAAGTGACAATGTAGGTTAAGACTTTCTGTCTCAGTAAACTCTTCTTTGAATATTTTGTGCATGTAGTGTCAATGTCAACAGCCCAACTATTCGGTCATCTGAATTAGGGATGGAACGATTACCGGTTTCATGATAAATCACGATAAAATGCCCTGACGGTTAGTATTACCATTTAAAATGTAATTATCATCAAAACCGTGTTTGATTATCGCGCTTTTGAAAACTCGCGGTAAATCCTGTCCAGCCAGCATCAGTCTGATACAGAAGCAGCATGCAGTGTTGTTGTTGTTGTTGTTTTTTTATGCTAAAAAAGTGCATATAGCTGCTAATTGTATTTGTTGTTTGTTGATTTTCAAATATAAAACTTATTGAAATGTTTTCAGTGTGTGTATCAGCTCTTTTTGAACGTTTTCATCTAATTTGAACAAAACCGTGATAATATTGATAATCGTGATAACTTTGGTCACTATAATCGTGATATGAAATTTTCATACCGTTACATCCCTAATCTGAATAATCATTTAGTTTGTTAATAGTCAGTGTTGTCATGCTTATTGGTAACCCAAAGACTGAATGTTATGAAAGCTATTCATGGTAGCATTTGTTTACCTAACAATGCATATTGTGATCTGACCTCTAATTTATAGTCTGTCAAGCAGAGCTGCGGTTAATCATTTGCCAGACCACACCGCTTCAGACTAGCTACAAGAAAGAAAGTCCACACATGGGAGTTACTGGGGTTTCTCAGGAAGCACTTCAAGTATATTTCGAAATCAATTAGAGATTTTGGCAGCAATGTTGTGGTTGAGAAAGTAGGCAAATGGTTTATTTTATTTAGACAAGTTATAAGGCCATAGCCGCTTGCTACGGCTGAAAGGTCCAGATATTTGTGGTTTTTATTACCATTTACTTGTGCTGTGTAATTTCCTTTATTTACTTAAAGAAAACTGTGAACAATTTATGACTTAACTGTTTTTCAATTAAATATTACTTAAATGTATTAAGTTATCATGGTTTTGATAAGCTCTGAATTGTAATTTTCAATTAATGTAAATATGAATATTGGTTAGATTAATATATGACATGTCTAATCAGGGAAATTAAAACAAAAATGGCAGATAAAAATAATGGAAACTTTACAACTCAGTCCATATGAGTGATGGATCATGAATCCTGCTAAACCGCAAATGTTGTAGTTTGGTTCAATCGCATTAAAAAAATCAGATATTATCCTTAGTATTCACTTAGAGTGTTTCTGTCTCTGAAGAAAGAAAATTGCATGGTGTGCTCAAGGCAAAAGCACACAAGAAACTATGAGGTTTGTTCATTAATGAACGATTATTGTTATTTTTATTTCTCAAGGACTGACTTATGTTTTTCATTCACTGACTGACACCTCTCCATTTTGCTCTCCTGTTTTAAAAACATAAGAATATGTTTTCAAATAGATTCAAATCCTGAGCAAAATAAGGTCTGTTGTAAATTTAACTTGATGGTACTTTGAGGTTTTGTAGAACAAAATAAACTGCACACTCACAAAAAAAATAAAAATAAACAACTGCTTCAAATTTTGCATTTTCACTATGGGTGTGTGTAATATACACTGTAGAGCACTAAAACGATACACAGACGCATTACTCATAGATTATGACTATATAAAACATAAAATGACACGTGCGTCAATTTTCAAACATTAAAAGACATTTGTTTTCGATTTCAGTCGATCGCATTGACGTTCCAGACAGGAGCGTCCGTCTGGCTACACCTGCTATTAACATAGCCTACTGCTGTTCATTCCTGGAATTCAGCTTAAAAGAAGCACTCCATAATTAAACGAAACGCAAACGTTTCTTCAAAAGTGTGGAAACGACTCGCGTGTTGACCATAACAATGAGTTGACAAACCGACCAGCGGTCAACAACAGTTACAGCACTATTATTTTCCAGAACTGACTTAAAGGGGTCATATGATGCGATTTCATTTTTTCCTTTCTCTTTAGAGTGTTACAAGCTCTTGGTGCATAAAGAAGATCTGTAAAGTTGCAAAGACTAAAGTCTCAAATCCAAAGAGATATTCTTTATAAAAGTTAAGAGTTAGCCACACCTACCTAAAACGGCTCGTTCGAACACGCCCCCACATACAGTGGGGCAAAAAAGTATTTAGTCAGCCACCAATTGTGCAAGTTCTCCCACTTAAAAAGATGAGAGAGGCCTGTAATTTTCATCATAGGTATACCTCAACTATGAGAGACAAAATGAGAAAAAAAAATCCAGAAAATCACATTGTAGGATTTTTAAAGAATT